TAAGACTGATGGAGAGAGACAGCCTTTTAGAGAGAGAGAGAGAGAGAGAGAGAGAGAGAGAGAGAGAGAGAGTCTCCAAGTGAATGTACTGGGAGTTCATGTTTTAGCACACTTGTGTATTGAAAGCTATGGGCGACAACTGCAGTAAGACTAGCACTAGCAGCTGGAAGATCTGGGAAGCTAGGAAAGAGGACTTAAACCCTGAGCACTGAGTCTAGGGGGCGCTGTAGGGCACTGCAACTATGCCATAGTGAACTGAGTCGTAGTGGAGTTGAGAGGGGAGGGGGTGCCCAATTTTGGCCTTGCACAGGACACCACTGAAATTTGAAAGGCCAAAGCCTGCCCCTGATTTAAGCCAGGCTGCTATGGCCCCCATAGAATGCAGCAAGTCCAGCCTTTACAGCAGCAAGGGTTAGCTAATCCCCCACACCCACCAAGTTAACTATTTGGTCTAGAGAATTTCTTTGGAATATTGAATGTATTCTACGTTTGATGAATCGTGATCTAGACCGAATAGTTACAATTGATAGTATTTCAATCATTGATACATTTTGTAAACAAATCCCACCCACCCACCAATTTTCTATTTTATTATGCATGATGGCTTTGCTCTGCCTCCATAGTCAGAGGCAGAAATGATTCTGAATACCAGTTGCCACAAACCACAGAAAAGGAGAGTGCTCTTGTGCTGGTAGAAGGCTTCCTACAGGCCACGGTGAGAACTGGGTGCAGGATTAGATGGGCCATTGGCCTGATCCATCAGGCTCTTTTTATGATCTTAGTCGCAAGCTGAAATGTGTCGCAAGCTGCTTTGGGTGCAACGCACCACGGGAAAATGGCAAAGGAAATAAATAAGACTTAAACTTAGCTGGGATTTTAGTTTGTGCACCGATTTGGGAATTGTGACTTTGGTGCAAGTGAATTTATCCCCCATCCCTACAGCCAGGAACATGTAAGAAATTGTTCTTGTTGTTGTCTAGTCGTATCCGACTCTTCGTGACCCCATGGAGCAGAGCACGTCAGGCACTCCTGTCTTCCACTGCCTCCTGCAGTTTGGTCAAATTCATGTTAGTAGCTTCGAGAACACTGTCCAACCATCTCGTCCTCTGTCGTCCCCTTCACCTTCTGCCCTCAATCTTTCCCAACACCAGGGTCTTTTCCAGGGAGTCTTCTCTTCTCATGAGGTGGCCAAAGTATTGGAGCCTCAGCTTCAGGATCTGTCCTTCCAGTAGTCACTCAGGGCTGATTTCCTTAAGAATGGAGAGGTTTGATCTTCTTGCAGTCCAGGGGACTCTCAAGAGTCTCCTCCAGCACCATAATTCAAAAGCATCGATTCTTTGGCGATCAGCCTTCTTTATGGTCCAGCTCTCACTTCCATACATCACTACTAGGAAAACCATAGCTTTAACTATACAGACCTTTGTTGGTAAGATGATGTCTCTGCTTTTTAGTTGTTGTTTAGAAATTGTGAGTTATTCAAATACTACTGTATTTTTCCAGCCAGGGAATGGCGCTTGTGGGATTTGCAGCATTAGGTGCCAAAAATAGATGCAAAATTTTGTGTAGTGGTGGTGATGGGGGTCATGTATTGTTCTGCCTCAGGCAGCAAAATGTCTTGGGCTGGCTGTAGGAGCAGCAGCAGAGCAGCCACCACTACTACAGACTCACATACATTAGAAAGGGAGCTCATAGTGCATTCACGGCTTCTTTTTTATATATATTTCTATCTAGGCTCTAAATAAAGCCAGAATGGCAATCACTGGTTAGCAAGAACTGTGCTGTATTTCACGGGGACCACCATGCGCCAGATTGCAGCCGTTGTAAAACATGTAAAACATGCAGCAACAAGAAACTGCTGCTGGCTCCCTGTATGTTCAGCCCAGTTCAGCTATGTGATCCACAAAGCAAAATATCTGAAAGTGCAATTCCTGTGCAGAGCAGACTGTAATGAAAGAGAAGTGACAATGGCAGTTTGTTGGGAGTTCTCTTCAAAAACCCTAAGCCAGGAACACTGGGATCATTGCTTTGAAGCTGCTAGTGCTTCATCGTTAAAATGATAATTTTAAGCACATTTTTGCTTGAATTACTTTCAAGCTCCCTGGCCCCTTTCTTCCACAAATTGTTATGGATGGCAATTGGGTAAAATTAATGACTACTTACGCCATGTAGCAGATATGCATTTAATTAATGGCGATCATTAATTCCCTGTTATTGCCCAGAAAATTTCCATGATGCTACTGTGATTTGCGGCTCAAAGCAAATTAGAGAAATCGGTTGCCCTTGAGAGGCGCACAAATTCCTATACATTTCTTCACATGAAGGAGCAGCACCCTTAAATACTGAATGCTGAGAATGGAACTGAATGTTACCAGGACGTATGTGTCTTTGCCATTTCAGCAAATGATATGCTGTATGAGTGGAGAAACCCAGAATGTGATCATGTATCATTTAGACCAAGAATGGGGAATCTGTGGTCCTCCAAGTCTCTCAATCCTGTCCTTGGGACTCAAGGACATAACATGCTTCCCAGATCATGCCCCTCTCAAGCCACATCTTCTGCTAGAGCTGCTCTGTGCCACCCTCAAGCTTTTTGCTTGACTGGAATATGCTCTTAAACCGCGGTGATGCCTCTTGCTAGACTGGATGAAGAAATGTAAGAGGTGTGTAGGTACAACCTCTGAATTTTGTGTCCACTTTCTGCTTCTGTCCCCATCCGCCGCTGTGTCATGGACTGGTTGGACGTAGAGGAATGGTGGGAGAAACCAGCTGGGGAAGCCCCAAGGGAAGAAGGCTCAGAGCCCAGAGAGTGGTGGTGGTGGGACAACTATGAGTGGTCAGAGGGAGAAGACTGGGAAGAGGAGGTGTCAGAAGCTGAAGAGGTAACAGGGCTTAGTGAGCTGGGAGAGTCGGCGGCAGACAGAAACTCAGAATCGGAGGCAGAAACTGAAGCAGGAGGGAAGCCAAGAGGCAGAGATGAGGCAGGCTGCTGAAGAGCCACAGGTGTCTCTCCCTCCTGCTGCAACAAGCTCACCACTCCTTCCCCACTTGTCTGCCAGAACCAAAAGAGGCAATTGGAGACTGTGCCTGGGTGCAGTCAACCTCTCCTCATCCCATAACCACTACGTAGCCCGCAGAAGATGGCCCACAAAGGAATGCAGTCCTTGGACGGATAACAGTTCCCCATCCCTGCCACAGGTGGTAATTTTAAGTGCAGTAAAGTCACATCTATCTGCAAAGGCAATATTGCTTCTTTTGACATTCTGCCAACAGGACATCCCTAAAGTGTCACTGTACACACTCAAAAAGACACTGTGTGTGTGTGTGTGTGTGTGTGTGCAGACTTGTGTGTTATCTACCTTAATGTTATGTTCTGAATAAGCTGTCTATATTATGAATAGAGTCCAAGTGTACAGTAGACATAATCTGAACACTTCCCCTGCTTTAGATCAAAGCACAAGAGGCATTAGTCTTTATTTACATCAGCACTTTTCTTTGCTTGATAGCTTTTATATTTTCATGTCAGAAACACCGTACCTTAACGTTTCAGAGTTTTACAGCAAACTCCTTCTATCCTGCCCTGTGTTCCTTAACAACATGGTGCCATCCATCAGCCGTTTGGTGTCAGTTCTCACAAATCAACTGCCAACAGAATGCACTTCCAAGAATAAAAATGAAGATGAAGTCAGCAACATTTGAGCCTGCTCCAAGTTAATGACAAAAGAGCTGCATCCCATCATGAGTTGAGTGGGAACCAAGATCTCTGGAAAGGAGAAGGTAAATCGTTACACATTAGTTGCAACGTGGCTGTCGATATAAATTATATGCTAAGAAAGGAGGTGTTCTTTAAAAACTTCTAGAAAGAAAAACTACTTCATGTATGCACATTTTCATTCAGTTTTAAGGCAAAAGCAATAAATGGAAGAAAGAATCAGTAAAAATATATTTTCCATGATCCCAAGCTGCCTTAATTCTGCAGCCAATTCCATTATATACACCCCACCCCAATCTCTGAGCTGCAAGACTCCAAGCGTTCCAAGCACTTTTCCAGGGCTGAGTTTCCTTAGAATGAAGATTAACAGCAGATCAATGTCTTTAGGATATGTGCTTTTAATTACACATTCAGTACATACAACTTGGGCATAGGATGGAGGGGCTCACAGCATTAAGACCCCAACAGATCTTGTTTCTCCATTAAGTTTCCAGAGAAGCACAGCACAGAGCAAGACACTTCTCTGTGTTTCCAGCTTCCAAGCTGCTTCTGGCCCACCTGACACACAACTCTGCCCATTGTTCTCCTATGTAGCAGCTAGTTGAGGATGGGGAAGGCCCACCTATTTGTTCTACGGCACAGAGCAACTTATTTGTATTTGCTAAATAATGGTACAGTGGTACCTCGGGTCACAGACGCTTCAGGTTACAGACTCCGCTAACCCAGAAATAGTATTTTGGGTTAAGAACTTTGCTTCAGGATGAGAACAGAAATTGCGTGGCGGCGGCGTAGCAGCAGTGGGAGGCCCATTAGCTAAAGTGGTTCCTCAGGTTAAGAACAGTTTCAGGTTAAGAACAGACCTCCAGAACGAATTAAGTTATTAACCCGAGGTACCACTGTACTTAACTAGCCTGTCAAGGTCATTATCTTAACAAAGGAGCTGGTTTGGCTGGTTTCCCTCTTGTAGATTCTACCACATGCACACAGGATTACAGGTTTGGAAGCAGACCCCAGGTTCCATCCGGACTAACCCCCCCCCCCCAACTCCTAACAGTTTATTTTCTATGATCCCAATCTCACACTGCTTAAATCTGAAACCAGTAAGTTCCATTATACGTAGTGAGCTGGTGACATGAATCCAAAGTGATTGGTAGCAAGGCTTTTTGCAATTAGACTCTGCTTAAATTTGGTGCCAAACGCAAGCCCCTATTTCCTCAGAAGCATCTGAATGAATCTGATCCCTTCCTAAAGTAGTACGGCTTGCATTTGGCATTGAATTAAAACAACGCCAAATACAAACCCTGGTGCCAAGGAACCACTGGGAGCACATGGCTTAAGAGTGCATTCCCAATTGCTCATTTGCAACTGGCCTTGCACTGGAAGGTGCTTAAATTCAACACCACATGCAAGCCCCGCTGCCTTCCAGGAGGGATCAGATCCACTTGGGGGTCATGATGACATCAGATGATAGACAGACTTGCCCACCTGTCAAAAGCGATCTATGGAGAGGTGGCCATTTTTTGATCTGACCCACCAGGTAACTGTGGTTCCCCACCACTGTTCCAAAGTTAGGTTGGTGTGAGCAACTTCAGAGAAGACCTTTTTGAATGGGGTAACCCAACTGTAGAATGTTCTCTCCAGGGATGACTGCTGGGCACCTACTCTTCTGTGTTTGGGGTACCAGAGAATTTTGTTTTCTTTTGTTCCACTTAGGCCTTTAAAACATCAACTGAGCGGTTTCCAGAGTTGTTTCAAACTGCTCTTCTGATACTATTGTTTTCACCCGCAGGCTGTTTTCATTGTTGAGTTCCTTTTTATTGGATTGCTTTATTTTATTGTCGAATTCTTTATAATATGCATGTAAGTGCCGCCCTGGGAACACTTTCGAGCTGGAGGTGCAAGATATAAATAAAATAAAATAAAAAGTGGCTTTGCGTACGAGAAATGGAAGGAGGGTAGGATGGAGAAAAATCAAATGTTCTGTTTGAGATAATTTATAATGCTGCATGAAAGCCACAGTTCAGATGTAATACTAGCAGGAGTGCATAGCAACTGGGATAAATTATACCTTTTATCCTTTCCTTTCCTTCTCATGTTAATCATCTCACTCATTTGTCAGCCAGCCCACAGCTCCTATCATTTCAGACCACAGATAGCATCAAGAATGACAGTTGTCGATAGCAGCACAATATATCAAATGCATACATCGGATATGCTTATGCTTTATTCATACAGAATAGTGTAATGCAAAGATATCATCATCACAGTGTACACAGGGTTGAGATGATCCACCAAGAAATCTATCTGTGAATTATAGATCGGTGCATTCATCAAGGACTTATTCTTAAGGGGAGCATCGGGAAAGCCTTACTTCTTTATACACCCTACCTGCCAATATAAGCTTCACTTAGCAACTGAGGTCAGGTGCACACTCGTATTGACTCTGCATCCAGTGCACTCCCACTGCTGGTTTGGGAAGCAATGTTCACACAACGTTAGGCACAATTCATACCTATTGCGTCGTTGCTTATGAAATATTGCACTTTTCTCCAAACCAGCTTTGATCCATAGCAGTTGAAACCTAACCATGTTTAGGCTCCAAGTATTTCAGGAGCTCTACTGGCCAAATTTGGATTACAGTACCCATCATCCGGACCATTGGCCATGCTGACCACAGAAGTGGACGAACTAAATTTGTCTTGTGTGATGTTTACATACAGTGGGACTATGTAAACCGAAGTCACAACTCAGTCCATAAAAATGTTACAATATATTTGAGGAGTCGTGTGTGTGTGTGTGTGTGTGAGATAATGTGTGTGTATTCCAGAAATATCTTAGTAATGCATTTTTTGTGATGGCGGAAGAGTTGGTGTGACTTGCTCAGTTCAGCTCCCTTGTCTAGGAGGAAGCAAAAGGCTCAGATGCTCCACTTCCCAATTCTATTTGGAACCAAGCTTGAAGTACGTTTTGTAAGCCAAGCTCCTGATTTCTGACTCATTCAGAATGGCAGATCAGATGTCTGGAAATGGCAAAGAAAACCCTTAGATTAGAAAGAAGCCATCCAAACAGTCCAAGTGAGATTTCTCCATCTCCCTCTGCAGCACCCATCATCCTTCCCTTGAGCCTGGTGTGCATCAGAGTGTGGCCACCTCAGCCTCTGGGGGAGAGATACCCAGGGAAGACTGTGGCATTGGCCCAGCTTCCTTTGTATAGTCTCTGACAGCCCTCACTTGTTTCCTTACTGAAACCGGTCAATGAGAGATGCCTCTGTTTGTCAGCTTGCTCTTCCTCTTTAGCCTCTGTGCTGTCCTTGCAGAAACCAGCAGGGAGGAGGATGGGGACAAAACTAGGATTGGTTGGGGTCTGCCTCCACCTACTGTCAGTCTCTCTGCCTTCTGCCCAAGCAGTCCTAATGGTCACCAGCCAGCACCAGAAATACCCCAAACTCTCAATACAAATTCTGCTCAAGGCAAATCTGAGGCAGATCCCCAAATTTGGACACAGCTCTTTCCCCCAGAACAGCTGGGTCTTCTTGCTGAACCCCGCACCCAAACACACAAGCAAGCCTCATTACTTCTCTTTTTTTGCTTTGGGTGTTCAAAAAATCCTTCTTGGTAAAATATCCTATGTTGTGGTACATCTGAAAAGAGGACTTTTCAGAAATTAGCTACCTGTAGTCAGAGCTGCTTTTCTTAGCCAAAGATAGGAAATTTGGACAAAGGGTCTCTCTCTCCCCCCCTCCCATTCCAATTGATTCCAGATGCCTAGGAAACTCCCCCCGCCCCCATAGGCCACAGTAGATAGCAAGCAGTCAGGTCGCTACACCCAGCTCAGAAAACAAGGCAGATACATGCATAAAAGAAATTGTGATCACAAAGGTGATGACTGAAATCCAGTTATTCACCCTTCTTCTATGCTGCCATGTCATTGCAAGCACCTGCACATCCTCTTCCTGTGATGGCCAAACCCCTCCCTCCCTGTATATTTTTTGCAGCCAGTTCTCCTTAATGACAGTCAATTAGGACGATGACTGCAAAGGGAGGGAACATGCTCCGTGGAGCATCCTTGGCCTCCCCTATTATAATTATTATTTTGCCCACGCAAATACCGCTGCTTTTTCCTTCCGCCTGCATTCCTCCCCCCCCCCCCCCCGAATCAGGCGTTGCACAGCCCTGAGCCACTCCGCATTTCCCTATCTAGATTTGGGCGTACGCCTCTCAGCTAGGCAGACAGAGCTCCGATTCCAAGGATGGGCAAAAAGGAAGGGCAGAGGGCTTCAGCGTCTGCTACGGAGCATGCTCAGTCGCCTTTCGCTGTAGAACTCGACGGGCAGCTGTTTAGGTTGCTACACCGGGAGCGGAGGGAGGCGCTGAGCCAAAGGGAAAAGAGAAGCCCCACAAAAACAAGCCGCGCTCCTTTCGCTTGGAGAAAAGGCTCGGGGTCGTGCGGTGAGTTTCGGGGGGAGCTGGGCGAGGCGGGAGGGCTGGGCAAGCGGGTATTGCTAACCTGGTGCTCGGAGGGGGAGGTCGGGGCACCTTTGGGTGCGTGAGCGCGCGCGCGCGCACGGGTGGGTTTGTTTTTCTGCTTATGGCATCAGCTGCGCGTTCCGACGAGCAACTCTGGCCCAGAGTGGTGGGAGGGAAGGATCGCGGCCTACACGCATCCTGGGCTTGTGTGTGTGTGCGCGCGCGCCGGAGCGTTGCCAAACAAAAGGAAAAAAGCCGGGAGCGGAGGAATAAATAAATGCATCGCCAGTGGGAGCGGTGGGGTAATCCATTGGGAATTTGGGCCGCCATCCTAATACATATACAGCCTTTTCCTACGTATCAGTTCCCTGCTTTGAGCGCAGATTGGGGGGCGAAAGAGAGGAAAGAGTTGTGCTGCTGCCCTGTCATTTCTGTCGAGGCCTCTGAGACGGTTAGGTTTGGGGAGGCCTTGAAAGCAGCGGCCCCTTTCTGGTGGAATTGCTGCTACGTCTTGCAACATACATGCAAAACACATTTAAAGAAATCCTGGTAAGTGTAGTGCTGGTAACCGTAGCTCTGCGATGGTAAACTACAGTTCCCAGGATTCGAGGTGTGCATGTGCCATCTATTACTTTCCCATCCGCCTTTCTTACGTCTTTCTGGAGTTAAGCCTCAGCATTTTGGTGCCTAATTACGTTTACTTCCCATCATCTGTTGCTTTTCTCTTGGGTCATTGGGTTGTTGTTTTTATTTTGATTATGTACTTTGTGGTTTTATATTTCTGATTTTATCCTGTGAATCGCCTTGCGAGCTGTGGGTATACGACAGTATATAAATTCAATAGTTATTAGTAATAATATATTGAGACAGGGTTTGTATATAGGGGATGTCTGAAGTCTAATGCCAACTAAAGCGCTTCTTGAGACAAGCATTTATATTGTGGGTAGATGTTAAGGGCTCCTGCCAGGGGCACAGTAGATTAAGAAATGCTAAATCATTACTTCCTCTCTACTTCCTCTATATTGAGGAAGAGTCTGCATTGCAGTTTCTCATTGCACAATAATTAAAATCTTTATTTTTCTGAATCTGGAGCAAGCAACTAATAATTACTCACTCTCTACTAGAGTTGCAGAGAAGTGCATCAGTACAGGTGTGTTCATAATTTGGGTGTGACGTGATACACCACAGCGGGTGGAAAAAAGCACGTGATTACAACATTTTGTTGCTTCCCGTGAATTCAGATATGGTTCTGAAACCTGGGAATTGGAAATGGCTCTTCCTCTCCATAATATAATTACTCTGTGCCTTTGAGGCACTGTTGCTTTTTACTGTTCCTGCTTTTGAATTGCATTGTTGTGAATCCCTTTTTAACTTTCTTTTGTCTTTATACGTCAGTGACCTCTGAAAGTTTTTAAAATAAAATAAAAGGGGTTAAGTGTGCTTAATGAATCAATTAAATAAATTTTGTTCTACTAAAATAATGATTAAGTTCTAAGTTGCTGCACAGTTTCAGTTTTCATTGTACGGCAGTTTGGATTGCTTCTGTGAGCCAAACCAAACTCTGTTACAGCCTTCTTTAACTAATGAGAAGTTGGTAGCCATTGAGTAATACAGTGGTACCTCTGGTTACGTACTTAATTCGTTCCGGAGTTCCGTTCTTAACCTGAAACTGTCCTTAACCTGAAGACCACTTTAGCTAATGGGGCCTCCCACTGCTGCTGCGCGATTTCTGTTCTCATCCTGAAGCAACGTTCTTAACCTGAGGTACTATTTCTGGGTTAACGGAGTCTGTAACCTGAAGCGTATGTAACCCGAGGTACCACTGTATGGGAAAGGAGAATGATTGGAAAGTCACCCTCCCCTCATAGCTCTGCAACAGGAGACAGGTGAGCTCCAGGTCTAAATGAGTAGCTTCTTGCTTTCCTCATCCTATATCTCAGCAGCCTAGGCATATTAAATTACCCTATGAAATTCAGGACTAATCTGTTCATCTAAGGTCTGAACTGGAATGATACAGTGTTAAGGGAGAAGGCTTATTTTTGCTTCCCCTCATGGGGTTGAGGGATGCATGCCTCATTGATGTGCATCCCTGTTCTCTATTTTCACACCGCTATTTGAATTCCAAGATATTTTAAGCTGTTTAAAGATCTACCCATCCCACAGCAGAAACAGTCCTCCTGTGAGTATCTTATTTGTATTTGAGAAAGTGCTCTTCCTGTAATAATAAACCTAAGGAAGCTGCCTTATACTGAATCAGACCATTGATTGATCTAGCTCAGTATTGTCTTCACTGATTGGCACTCGGAGTTTCAGGCAAGAATTTCTTCTTATACCAAACTCATTGGTTCATTTAACCAAGTATTGTCCCAAGATTTCAGGCAGGTATCTTTCCCAGCCCCATGTGGAATTGAGCCTGGGAAATTTTGTATGCAAAGTGCGTGCTTTACCACTGAACTATTATCCTTCCCCAAGTCTGGGAACAAGAGCTGTTTTGAAGAAAGTTTAAGCTCTAGCACCACATAATATGTTTTACTTATTTATTTAAATTATTTTATTTATTAAATTTCTATACTGCCCTTCATCTGAGGAAAAACAGGGTGGTTTACAATATAAAATTATTTATAACCTACTCTTAATCGTTCACACAATCCCAGACTGAAGGACATTAAAATGCAACAAAACAATCTTCATTTGAGTACAACTTAATGTAAAATTAGACAATATACTATCAACGTGAAATCAGCCCTGAGTGCTCACTGGAAGGACAGATCGTGAAGCTGAGGCTCCAGTACTTTGGCCACCTCATGAGAAGAGAAGACTCCCTGGAGAAGACACTGATGCTGGGAAAGATGGAGGGCACAAGGAGAAGGGGACAACAGAGGACGAGATGGTTGGATAGTGTTCTCGAAGCTACAAACATGAGCCTGACCAAACTGCGGGAGGCGGTGGAAGACAGGAGTGCCTGGCGTGCTCTGGTCCATGGGGTCACGAAGAGTCGGACACGACTAAACGACTAAACAACAACAACACTATCAACGTAATACTGCAACTGCCAAACAAACGGTACCACTTTGGCCAAATGCTATGTGTTTAACCTGGTGTGCTAGCGGGTGTGGAATTTGTTTAGGTATTGAGTGAGCAGGTGTGTACTGAGCAAACTCTTTGTTTTTTAATGGATTTTTATATTTTATCTGCTTTATGCTCTGTATTATTTATACACTATATTACATATTTTTAATTCCCTCTTTAGAAAGCTTTGCAATGAAAACATTTTTGAGAATAAATTGCTCGTTATATGCATTGCTCTCTTCTCACAGGGCAATTTTGAGTGTCAAAAGCCCTACGTGGGCAAGCACCACACACACACATGCACATAGAGCTCCCTGCTCTTTTCTGCCCTTCTGGCCTGTAGTTACAGGATGCTGCAGCCTGTAAGCCCTGCATCTTACAATTTTTAGACTCATCCATACAAACTCAAGCGACTGTTTTCTTTCTTGGGCAGGCCCGGGAATGGGGGTGAGGGCCAGAAAAGAAACAGGAGCCCTCTTTTAATTCCTCAAAAGGACAGTACTGTACGTGAAAAGCTGAGAGGGGAGGGAGGGGGGAAGCGAAACAGAGAGCATACTGGGAGCTGTAGTCCTGGATGCTCACTCTCCTGCTCAGCATCCTACTACATCTCCCATAAAGCCAGCCATTTTGCAAAACAACCCCCTCCTCCGCCTCTGCCTCTCTTGGGAAACTCGTCTCCTGGGTCCCGAGGAGCGAGGGAAAAGCAACCTACCGGAACTACTTTAATGGGGTTTTTTTGTTTCTTTTAATGGCGTGCGCCTTCCCTGATGCTGCAGCTTGCAAGCCGCGCAGCTAGGCTGGGCCCCAGAGCCCCGTGTGTGTTCGTGTGACGAAAGAAACCCTTGCAGAAACGGGGAGAGCAGGGGCTCCCCCCCGGAGCTTCTTTCTGTCGGGCTACGTCACAGGGAGGGAGAAAATACCCCGCGCCCAAGGCATCGCGGTGCGTGGTGTGGCGACTGACCTGCAAATTGATTGCATCACTGCTTGCTTTTACCACTGAATTGCCCATAACTTAATGCCGGCTGCTACTGGAGGGTCTTCCCTGTCTCGTTTTTGTCCCTTCAGGTGAAGCGCCCATACCTGCAGGAGGAGGAGGAGGAGGAGAAGGGCGGCGGAAGAGGAGGGAGCGCGGCCAGGGGACGCAGGTGAGGCAGGCTGAGCCAAAAAGAAACTGCACACCTGCTGCCTTCTGGAGCGAGGCTGTTGGGGAAGGGGCAGGTGATAGCAGAGGGAGGGAAGGGGCTAGCCGACCACACACATCTCTCTGTGTGTGTACATCTATCTATCATCTGTCTGTCTATCTATCTATCTATCTATCTATCTATCTATCTATCTCACATACACCCAGCGCTGTTACCTGAGGGATGGGAAGCAGAGGGGAGGTGGGGTTTAATTTGCTTGAAATTTCCCCTGGTTGGCTACATCTTTTATTAAAAGATAGGGTGCTTTTTAAAGATATGCTATGCATATTAGGGGACGCGGGTGGCGCTGTGGGTAAAAGCCTCAGCGCCTAGGGCTTGCCGATCGAAAGGTCGGCGGTTCGAATCCCCGCGGCGGGGTGCGCTCCCGTCGTTCGGTCCCAGCGCCTGCCAACCTAGCAGTTCGAAAGCACCCCCGGGTGCAAGTAGATAAATAGGGACCGCTTACAAGCGGGAAGGTAAACGGCGTTTCCGTGTGCGGCTCTGGCTCGCCAGAGCAGCGATGTCACGCTGGCCACGTGACCCGGAAGTGTCTCCGGACAGCGCTGGCCCACGGCCTATAGAGTGAGATGGGCGCACAACCCTAGAGTCTGGCAAGACTAGCCCGTACGGGCAGGGGTACCTTTACCTTTACCTTTTTATGCATATTTATTATGGCATGCGTTTTTTTGTAGACTAAATGCCCCCCTTTTTTTAGTATGGTGCAAGTCCAAAGCTTGCATGCTACTCTGCAACATTCCAGTTGGTCCTCCCAATAAAAGGTTTGCCCATTTGTGGATTTGTTATTATGTGCTGACATGACTACCTTTGCTTTTCATATTTCTTTCCATCTTTAAGGTGCTACGGTTTTGTTTTTGCTGCAGCAGGCTTAACATTGCAGTCCTATTCAGATCTGTCTATTCAGAAGTAACTGCTGATGAGTTTAGTAAGGTTTATTCCTCTTAGTTGCAGCCTAAAAGGGATACACATCTAGAAGTTGTTGCACATTGTCTATCCTTGCTATATCTGATTTCCTTCCTTCGCTCCATAATTGTTTCTTGAGTTAGGTCTTAGAGACATTTGGTGTCTGTTTACAAGGCTTCTGTCATCTTATGTATGCTTTGGCTCTGGGAAGTTTAGAAATCTAAGATTCATCATAGAGCTTCTTACTTGCGTTTATATTACAGAGTATTAAATATTCCTCCCTCTTCTCAGAGGATTGATGAATGCTAAATGATTAGTAATTTGCAAATTGTGGTTTGCATCAGCAGTCATTATATATTACATATGTATTGAGATTATGACTTCAGTTTGTATGTAAGTCATGTTCAGAGTAGACCTATTAAAATTAATGGATTTAAGCAGGTCACGACTAACTTACCTCCATTTTAAATGGGTTTCCTCTGAAAATGGTTTACATATAACTCTTGATCTCTTTCTTTTCTAGTGGGAAAGATGCTGTAGCCCTAGTCATTCATTGTTATTAATATAGAAAGGTGCAACAGAACTGCTGTTTTAATTTGGGTGTTGTGGAAATTATACTCATTTTCTCAGGTAGTTTTAATGAATAATTTTGTTTCTTCGGAAAATGCAGAAAGGGTTAAAATGCTGGTGACTATGACTTTTTGTGAGTTCCATTTGTTTTGATAGGTGGATAGGAAGCCTCCCAGTAAGGAATTATTTACATATGTATAGCTAGGAAAAATCCCAGGCAACCCAAAATAAACTTTCTGTCACTGATTAGGACTCTGAATACTTGATTCTGGAAAGAAATATATTATGAGCAGAGCTTAAGCTAATTACTATAATTAGTTTGCATTAAATTATTATTAGGCATTATGTTGCTGTGTGTCCCACTTGCATTTTGGGTCAGTTTGTTTTGTTTTTGTGGACCAGAGCAAACTGCTACAACTGTTTTTTAAATATTTGATTCAGCAGCACCTCTTCAGTATTACATAGGGTTGCCATAAAAAAGGTGAAAATCACTTTTTTCTTAGGAAAATTAACACTTCAATTATGGGCTGCCATAAGCCCACGTTTTCCCGGATATTTTAGCCGCTTTTCGGAAATTCTACCCAGACGCCATTTTCAACAGACAAATCCCGGCTATGCCTGGGAAATTCCAGACATATGGCAGCCCTAGTATTAAAGAGTCTTATTATGTGTGTTCTAAAGGGTTTATTCCCAGGTTAACGTGCACAGGAATACAATCTTATAATCATATTCATACTTATTTTGATACAGTTTGATCTATCTATCTAAAATACAATGGTCCAAGCCAAGCTAACCATATCAGATACTGGCTTGCTCTGAGTTCCATTAATGCAGTGTTCCCCAACCTTGGGCCTCCAGCTGTTTTTGGACTACAACTCCTACCATCCCTCGCTAGCAAGACCAGTGGTCAAGGATGATGGGAATTGTAGTCCAAAAACAGCTGGAGGCCCAAGGTTGGGGAACACTGCATTAATGCATAGTTTCACAATTCCTCTAGCCTCACAGCTGTACCTGAATTGATGTTTATTTTTCGTTTCAAGTAGTTGTCTTATCACGGCTAGCACTGTCCAAATGTCCTGTGTGATAAATGCCTGTTTTATCTTTAACTCAGCTGACTTTAAACCCTGACCCAGCAAGCCTTCCCATAGTCCAGGAAATTGTAGGCTGCAATCTGGCTGGCTAAGCTGTATGAAGCGGCAAGGCCACCGCTGTACCTGCAGGCCTGCCATGCACAGAGGAAGTTATGTGGGTGCATGTAGCTGCACCATCCTGGATCTGGCCCATGCCATCACATAGCAGTGTAACTGGTTGGGATCCAAGACATCCTGGGCCAGCTCAGCTCCACCTGCTCCTGCCTCCAGAATGTCCTACTTAGAAGCTTTCTGCTGGCTGACACCTGACAGACAACACTCAGTCAGCAGGAAGCCATCTTAGCTAGGGGAGCTGGGTAGAGGGACCTCATTACTCATTTCAAACTGCCCCCAGCCCCGTTCTGGGCTTCGTTAAAGTTCTGCAATTATAGCAGGAAAATGGAACAGACATTGTTGGACTGCAATTTCCATCAGCTCTAGCCAGCATGGCCAGTGATCAGGTTTGATGGGCTGCTGGTTCCCCATCTCTGAAGCAGAGTAAAGGCAAAGCAGGGATAGCCCATTCAGCCGAGAACACATATAACATTGCTGTGGATTTCAATTTACAGGAGCCCTATCTTAAAAAGTTGGCGACCCTACATGTTTAGTGTACTTACAGATGGCTCTCTCGGAGACAGCTGATTCCAGGATTTCAGATCAATATTTACATGTTCTGGTTTCTGGCTGTCAGGATGATTTGTGAGGAACAAGTGTAGGATTAGTGTACTGAGTGGAACACATGAGTAGCTTTGCAGCAACATACATAGTACTGAAAGAAAACCAAGAGGCAGGTATTATGAAGAATGTATTCCCCATAACTAAAGATTCTGCACACAACTAGAAACTTTTGGCATAATTATCATAAAATGAATGTATGGGTGGTAATAATTCTTGAAACAATGTAACTTTTTTCCCCAATCAGAAAAAGCAGATGATGATGATGGTATTACTTATATCCTATCCTGCCTATCTGACTGGGTTGCCCAAGCCACCCTGAGTGGCTTCCAAAATAATATAAAATAACACAACAAAACAGTACTAAACACCTCCTCAGCCTTTCACAGACATAATGCCGAACAACTGTTTGTTTTCCTTAATTGGGATTATGTATTGCAACTGAATACTTCAACTGTGATTAAGAATTGGCTTGCAACCAAACCAGGATGGGAGACCACAATGTCTGAGGTTTGCACATTATGGCTTGCATCAGTCATGGTTAAATATTACATCTGAACTGAGCCAGTCACGATTATGGCAGTTTGCCTCCTTTTCTAGGCTTCCTGCTAACAAGTTGCAAGCAAGTCTCCCTGAATGTTTTCCTGGTGGGCAGTGGTTTATCTCAGCAAGCTGAACCATAGTTTTAGTGTTTTCATTTAATCAATTTAACAATATGTGTAGCAATCCCAGTTGTCTCTAAGCACTGAACAGGAAACCCAATACAGTGAGACTAAAAATGAGTTCATAGCTCTCCAAATGAAGCCTCTTATATATAACATATGCCTCCAGGTCTAAAGTCTGCCTCTTAACTTTTCCTACCAGCAAACATGGGGAAGTCTCTTTCAATGCCTTTACATGGATCTAAAGAAGATGGGGTTTCATCAACGGACAACATGAGGAAGGGATTAGTTCACTCAGAATCTCACAGTGAAGATGGAAGAAATGGAGACGTGTCACAGTTCCCATATGTTGAATTCACGGGAAGAGATAGCGTCACATGTCCCACATGCCAGGGAACAGGGAGAATTCCACGTGGTATGTCTAAAATGCATGAAACAGTATAAATGATAAAGTGCTAAATATGTTTTTGTCTTCCTCCTCTTCAAGTCCCCATTAGTCCTTATGCTTATCTGTTGTAGAAAGTGTATGATGACTAAGTACGGATATGTTTTGCTGGCTTTTTTTGTATCTGGGAATATTATTGAAAGACTTATGGTAGAATAACCTTGGATTTGGGTCCTTTGATTTTCTCTCTCTGCTTTATTCACCAAATTCATAGAAAATCACATTGAACTTTTTAAACAATACTAATGTGATACCTTGCCAGTTTTCAGTTGCAAATATGGCAGCTGGGCATTCACAATGCAAGAAAACCATCAGTCAACACCAGGCAAAACAAGCCATGGTTTATTTTATTATCTGTGAGCAGGATTCTGGTTTCTTCAACAAACCATTGTTAAAGCAAATTACGGCTTAGTTTTTCATCCAGTCATGGTCTATGATATCCTTTTACCATTTTAAAGTTATTTTTTCTCATTTTTAAATTTGGAAATGTTAGAACTTTTATCTGATGGTA